ACCATGAATCTTGAAATCCCATAAAAAAAAAAATAAATAAATAAACTTTAAGAAGATACAGATTTAAGGAAAACAGATAATTAGCACACATACATATCATTAACATAGATGTGGCCCAGAAGATGAATTGTAAAAGGCCATTCCCCTTGAAAAGGAACACCCTCTGCTGCCGCCTGTTTCCGGAGACAAGAAAAAACCAATTTAGAAAGTAGAGCTAGGGTTTTGGTGGGGTTTAAGAATGCTAACGAAAACCTGAAGAACCTAAGTTTTTAGATAAATCAAAAAAAGGTTCTGCTCATATATTTGATCAAAATCCTAGCAAGACAAGAAGAAGAAGAAGAAGAAAAAAAATCAAAACAAAATCCAAACTGAAAAGAAAAGAGAAAGAGAAATTGCCTGAAGCAAGATGCTATCGCAGATGTCGGCGATCTTCTCAAACGATTTCGACGCCACTGCTTCCGTCAGGGGAGAGAAATCCATCTCTGTTACTATGTTGCTCTGAACCCTGAAAGAGTGAAGACGAAGAGTAATTTAACAGTGATTTCATGAGCCCAAGCGAGGCCCAAAGGACTCTGTAAATAAAGCCTAGGTCTTTTCCCGCCGAACCGATTAAAAAACCCACCCGACCCGAATTTTTTCCCGCCATAATATGCTCTTTCGTTCTTTATCTTTCCCGCGAAATGGTGTCTGGAACTCATGAGACAGGACTCAGGAGCCGCCATGGCAGGAGCAGAGCTAAGCTCAAAGAAGCGGAACAGGTCATCCCTCTGCTCCTCTCATACCTTTGTGGGAGCCCTCACTCGTAACAAATCCCAGATCTATCTCCAACGCAGCCGCTCTGGCAGGTCCCGAGCCGACTCGATTCGTGGCGCAAACCACAGAGAGGTCAGTATCCATGATGTTCAGCACACTGAAAAGAAACCTAAAGGGGCAGAATCAGCTCCAGGTTCATCTGTTGTCAACGATTTGTCTTCAGGTTCCATCATCAAGGACCTCCGAACCAGACGGGTCTTTTCTCCACCTTCTATCGACATTCAAGATCAAAACGTTAATGGGTTTTCTTGCAAGGAAAAAAAATCGGAAAGTACTAATCTTGTTTTGGGAAGAGATGGTGTAACTAGCTATTTCCGGGACGATGGTGAGAAACTGGATGCAGGTTCGTCTTGCAAAGAGCAGAATCTGAAAAGAGTTCATGATAATCATCGTTCTTGTTCTGACAAAGACGGACACGACGGTGGTTGTTTAGTTGGCGGAGCTTGTGAAGTTGAGGATTTTGGGAAAGTGAATTTAGGGTTTTCTGTCAAAGAGAGAAGCAGCAGTGCAGAAGCTAGGGTTTCAAAGGAGACTTGTCAATTGACTGAGGATTATGTGCAGTCAACGCCACCAGATGCTGATACCTTTGGTGGTCAAAGAGAGTCAGAAATGGATTTCCTGAATCAGGTTTTGAAGAAACAGTCAGATGAAAATGTCCAGAAAAATGTTGGGGGCATTAGAAAGGACAATTGTACAAATAAATCAGTAAGAATCTCACAACTCAATGCAACATCTATTTTGCTTTAAGAAATTTTATATTTTGCATACTTTTGAATGGAATGGTTTTCTATTAATGTAATGTCCTTATATGCTTGCTTAGATCCATCCATGTCTTAACTAATTCAACTGAGCTTAACTATTTCTATTTTGGAATAGGTTCTTAATCCTCTTGCTCGCGCAAAACTTTTCAAAACACCAGGGTCATTCAGCTATAGGAGATTGCTTCCCTATTTGACAGATATCACAAAAGATTTTCCTGGTAAGTTCTCTGCTCATTTCTATTCTAAAGTGTTCTCCATAAAATGGGGGACTTTGGATGTAAAAGTTTAAATTTGAGGTGGCAGCTCGGTAAAGCTACAATACTAAACTTTCTCATGAATATCTTCACAGATGCCCCAAAAGCTGGTAAAAGTCTGAATATTCAGAAGCATTTGCAAAATAAGACATTATTCAATTCAAGCTGTCAAGAAAGGTTAATTGATATATCTAAGACTAAGACAGTCTTTTGCTCCCCTGAGGGTCAGAATGGCAATTCCTTGCACCAGTTGGATTCAAAGTTAATTGACTGCGCTAGAAAATCCTCTCAACCATTTCATTCACAAGAGGATCCTTTTGTGAGGATCAACTCACTCACCTCAGTGGCTGAGAAGCATTATTCCAAGCCACTTGTCAATAGAGAGATCCCAAAATCTGAGTCAGCACCTTCTCATGAAGATCATAATTTAAGTAAGTTGCTTTCAACTATAGAGGATTCAGATGTCACTAAGGATCATTCGACTTGTGTGGATTTTGGTCATGTAATGCTGATGAATGATGGGAAGGCCAGAAAAGCTGATGCCATACCTTCTTTGGATACTCCCAGAAATGGTCTGGACCAGGATCTGTCTAGAATTACAGATAAGTGTCATTCCAGTAAATATGATGAAGTTGGACAGTGCCCAGACAAGATAAAGTCGCGTGATGCTGAAGGGGTGAAGAAACTGCATGTAAGGCATTCTTTTGAAGTTCAGAATGTGAATAATGCGAATACTGTTGAACAATGCTCGGAGGAAACAAAGTCGCCTGAGACTGAAGGGGTGAAGAAATCAGCAGTGAGGGATTCTTCCAAAATTCATCATTTTAATAATGTGAAACTTGCTCTTCCTGATGTGAAAGGGAATATAAAAGACAGTGTAGAGCAAAGAAGTGACAATGATGGTAAAGTTCATATTGAAGATCCAAATGTAGAAAATACTCAGAAGGTAGCATCAAATGCTGACATCTTTTCTAAACCAGAGGTAGATGAAAGAAAAGGGAATAGATTGGATGACATTTTTCAAGGTGCTAATCATCATTTTGGGAGGTCAGCTGATGGAAATCTTTGTAAAACTAATGGCTATCTCAGTGAGAAAGCACTTGAAACAAGACCTATGAGCAAATCGGTAAGTAACTACTGACTTCTAATATTTTCAGTTTTGATTTTCTGGTGCGTACCATAATAGCTTTAAACAAATTTTTGTGCTGAATATGTGAATCACCTTGTATGGTACTGGCAAGTTGCATTATTGTTGCAATGTTTGCATGATCTATACATGCTAATCTATGTGGACGTGTGTTGTGAAGATTGCAGATCCACTGTTAAGTCTGAAGTTATCCAAAATTCCAAGTTCATTAAATTATAGAAGATTGCTTCCTTATTTGATAGATGTTGCAAAAGATAAATGTCGTAAGTCCGACTTTATTTCTTAACCTATCATCTCTTTTTTTGCTTTTTTCCTTAAGTAATTTCATCCTACAATTAGTTATTAATTTGGGAAGTTAATAATGTAGCCTTCTGTAAATACTTTTCCAGGTGCTTCTGAAAGTGGCCACTTGTTGGAAGTCAAGAAGGATACAAAAGACAAACCTCTTTCACCATTGTTTACTTCTTATTGCAATCAAACATCTGCAGAAAATTCTACTGACAGAAGTTCTAGAGCTCACCTTTCTGGAGATAATAGACCTGTGATGATTACAACTGCTATCAGTGGTTCATCTAGTGATGATAAGCCAAGGCTCTCATCTCCTAAACATTTGCTTGATTCACCAGTGATATTGGATTTGCCACAGGAGCAGGAATCACTCACTGAACATGGTACTACATCTGATACAGATCAGAGGTCAGAGATTAGCCCCAATATTGTGAAGCCAACTGATGGAGTTACTCTAGCAACAATGCCATTCTGCTCTCCAATCTGTTCTGGTTCAATTTCAAGAGAAGATGCTAAATTACCAACCCAGCAGTTACATGTTAATACTGAAATAGGCTGCATGAAGTCTATGCTGAAATGTACTAACGATGCAAGCCCAACTGAAATGGACAGCTTTCTTGGAGCATCTATTCCTCCTGGGATTCCTGCTGCTGGCCTCATGGAGGGTATTCTTAGAAGAAATTCTCATGGATGCAGAGGTATATGTACTTGCTTGAATTGCTCTTCTTTTCGCCTACATGCTGAGAGGGCATTTGAGTTTTCAAGAAACCAGATGCAAAATGCTGAAGAAGTGGCTTTAGATTTGATGAAGGAGCTATCACAGTTACGAAATATGTTGGACAATTCCACAATGGGTGCTGATAATCATGCTGTCATATGCATCAATCAGGTGACTACCATGCATTTAATATAATATTATTTTCATGTTTTATTCGATGGAAATGGTTATTCCATGGTTCTTGTGTAAAAATGAGGCAAAATATCTGGGAGTATGACGAAATATGATTGGTTCAATCTTCAATGGAATGCTATTCAATGATTTTATAATGAAAATAAGATAAAATAGTGGGATAGTATGGCAAAGGAGGAATGGTCATTCCATGCTTTTAACTATTCCCTTTTAAAATGTAGAATAAGGTGTGAATGGTTGTTATCACCACCATGGCACCACCACTTAGGTTTAGTTGAAAGTCCAAAAAACCACATTTTGTTTTCGGTTTTCACTTGATAACTGTTTAAGTAATTACTGTGTTCTTTGACATGAAAAACTCTGATGGTTACTGAGTTTCAAATATTTAATGTTAGGTGAAAGAGGCCTGCAGGAAGGCCTCTGAAGCAGAAAAACTTGCTAAACAACGACTTGGCGAAATGAATGATGATCTAAACATTCACTGCAGAATCACAGTAAGTATCTCCTTTGAATCCAGTCCTTAAACCACCAATCCGGACTTACTTTTAAGTAGTTTACTTCACCTTGGTTGTCCAGTAAACTTAGTTTTTCTTCAATTTATTTAGTGTGGGAAGCGACCAAGAGTGAAATTTGCTAATTATGTTGAAGAACAAGTCATTTCCACAACAGATTCACCAGACCAGTAGTTTGAAATCATGAGGAATATGCTGCAGAGATGATTGCTGTGCTTTCTTTTCATTTTACCTTGGCTCTGCTGATTTTCAGTTGGCCTTGAATGTACACCTCCATTTTACATTAGCTGCCTGTGTTGACACTACACTAGACAACAACATCATAGACTATATTTCTGCAGGCCTCTTTCACTCCTGTGCTTAAATTTCAGGGGTAAATGAAGTTTCCACTGTTATGGTTTTGAACCATTTTTAATCTTGATGTTATGGGGTTAAAACTAATACATTTACCTTAAGCTAATGTATTGTACATATCTTTGTTTGATGAATAGTTACTTGCTACTATGTTTTTGTATTTTTTTTCTTTTCTTTTTGGTCTTAATACTCTCACAAAATGTTTATGCCGCCATTAAACTTTAAAAATGTTGAAGTCAGTCCTTTACTCACCTCTGTCATGAGTAATGACGAGTGTGTATAGGCGCTATGAAAGAATAGTAGGTTCAAAATCTTTTTTGTTCAGCTGAAAATATGGTTGTTGCTCAAAGGAAATAGCTGTTCTGGAAACAGATAAAAAGAATCCTGACACATTTGGATTTAGTTTCAGCCTCCATTTAATAGATTCAGTTTCAGCTATACTCTTCTGCTATTGTCACTGTAAAATCTCTAAATATCAGATTCGATAGTGACAAAAGAAGAGTTTGACATATCTATCTCATCTTTGACAATCATAAGAGTAGTAAGATAAATAACAGTTTTTTAAAAATTTATCAGAGAATTAGTAAAATTTATAATATTAAAAAGCCTCTGAAAACACAAAAAGTTAGATATTAAGAAAGAAAAAATAACTCAATAATATACCTGAAAAACTAGTAAGAGAATTGTGAATAAGTAACTTAAAATGTGGGAAAAGGGATTTTGTTGATGAAGTTTTATATTTGAAATAAACTTAAAAATTTAATCCAAGAACAAACATACTGACAGTAAAAAAGTGAACGAAGAGTTTACAATTTTGATATTATGGTAAAAACTAAAAATAAGAAGAAATATTTTAAAATTTTTATTGTTTTCTTAATTAACATGTATGTATAATAACTTATAAGTAGTTGTTTATAAATAAAATATTTTATAATGTCTCGCACTTGGTGGTCCAATCGTCACCTCTGCAAGGGACGTGTGTAAGACAAACAATTTGAAATCAAATCTCAAATTCTTCTTTTTTTTTTTTCAAAAAAAAAAGATTTTATACTGTTTAAAAAAATAAATAAAATAAAAAAT